GGCTGTCCCCAGGAGGGTTACGAGTTGGGGCTTGTGTGAGTCACCTGGAGATCCATGCTGAGTGTTGTAAGAGACCTGCTCATCAAGTGAACAGCAGAAGCAGTTTTATAGTCAATCTCTTAAATTGTTTTCTGCCATTGTTTTTCCCCGTCCTAGATCCAACTGTCCATCAGTCACTTTCACTGCGAACGTGTTTTTCTTTTCATGTGATAAACGCTCATGTTGCAATATTTGGGAAACAATGAACCTCTTGGTGTCTTGAAGAGCGATGATCCAGTTGCGCGTAACCGTGGGATGAATCTCTGTGTGTTTGGTCACACAGAGCACAGGGTCCAAGCCATGGGTGGTTACTTCTTCTGAACTGTGAAGGCAGCAGTGACCCAGGCAGAGCTGATGGATCCTGGAGGAACTTGGCCATCAGGAAAGGGCAGTGGGGTCTGCAGGAGAAAGGAGGAAACCACAGTCACCGTTCATCTTTGTATCTCAGCCCGGCTTGGGCTGAAAGATGTAGAGAACCATAAAAACCCTGGGCAAGACCGTGGCTTCAAGGCTCACGTGGGCTCCTAATTGTGGAAACATGTTGAATTATGTGATACGATGCGGTTATATAACACCTTTTATGAAACTCTTGGCACAAAAACAATGCATAAAAATAACAGATGTGGCAAATCACAACCACGTTCTGAAATCTTTCTGGAGTTGGGTTTAGTGAAAACAATGGGCTTGATTTAAATTGGGATTATTTTTTTTTTTCTCTCCCCCTCCAAAAATGTCCACAGGCAAAGAAATATTTGAAAGAGCAGTAAAAAGGCTAAAAGTGCAAACAGGGTTTCTCCTAAAGAAATCGACTCCAGGGCAGAGCAGCAAAGGTGTGGGAGGGGGCGGAGGGTCAAACCCTTCTTGTGTGACTCCTGCGACTGTCGGTGAGACTTTTGTTGTAAACCAAGAAAGATGTGGCCCTGAGATGTGTCCCAAGGGAAGGATGGAAACCCAGCATCCATGATGAACAACGGAGCAAGCGCTTGTCTTTCCAGGACCAGCAAAACCCAAAGGGATGCCCGAGATGAGCTGCAAATGCATGAGGGCTTCCACAAGGGAATAACCAGGCGGGAGTCTGGCCGTGCCCCCCAGCCTTTCACCATCCCCAGAGTCTTCCACGTGCTCCCCAGCTTTTCACCATCCCCAGAGTCTTCCACATGAGAGATGGATTTGCAGTGAGAGGTTTGGGGCACCAGGAATGTGGCTTTTCCCGTGGTTTTTGTGAAGCTGCCTCACCGATAACGGGCTCCATCTCTCACAGGCTGTAATCGGAGCAGGATCTGCCCAGGAGCAAACGCTCTGTAACTCCATGGGGCTGATAAAGGGGAACGGGCTCCAATTAATTTACTGATAATTTACTGCTGTTTCTTGTGGTACGTGGTGTCCTGGACACGGGCAATGTGCAGCTCGGAGCACCTACACCCAGACCTTTAAATGGTGAGGAGATCTTTAAACCATGCAGCAGTGCTGTGCTGCTGCTGCACATGGGGGAAGAAATCGGATATTGCTGGGCGTTGTTTGTTTTCTTTTTCTTTTTAATCTCCTTTCTGGCCTTTTATAGAGTCAGTTTCTACATCGGCTCAGGCCCCGGTTGGCATACGGGACCATCCCCAGTACGACAGCTCCGTTAGAACCGCGCTTCCCAGAACTGAGTTTGGCCTCGAGTCTGCTCCATAATGTCCTATTAATTAATTATTCATCCTTCCAGAGAGCCCAGATGTGAGCGCGGGATCGACTGCTCGGTCGTTTCTGAGCGGTTTGGTTAAGAGGTGCCAATTAGTTCTTGGTATCATTTTAAAGAGTTTGGACGATGGAAGAAAACTGCAGGGCATCTTCAGTGGAAAAAAAGAAAAATAGTATTAATAGCCTCTTATTAGTAGTAGAGAAAAGAAAGACCTTTCAGTTAAAGGCTTCCAATTTTTTTTTTTTTTTTTTAAGAAAAAAAGGAAATTTCAACTGAAAGAGAGAACTTACTGTTTTGAAAGAGTTTGCTGGGTGGAGATGTGAAACTGAAAGGATCTTGTGCAACTCTGCTTTTTAGGTCTAGTACTAAATTCCTCCATTTATTCCTTTGCGTTACCACAGGAAAATGGCTGAGGATTGCTAAGGAAAAGAGTGATTTCTGATATAACTGATTTCTGAGATAACCTAAAACATGGAGCATCTTCCAGAAGCAGACCCTGGCAGTTCTCTCTCATCTTTGTCTGGAGAGCAGGTATTTCTGTAGCTCTTCCCATCCTCCAAGTCCTCAGTAAGCATTAAGTATTTTCACATCCAGCAAATGGAACAACAACGGAAGACTTCATTTCCCCATCTGTCAACTAGTCCTGAACAAATTGTACGTCTTTCCCTTCAGAGAGAAATCTTAGGTAAATTAAAAGCTTCAGTGTTCATTTTCATGTAACAGAGGTTCTGAAAGAAATTCTGTCACCACATTTGTAGCTGATTTTTTTAAAAAATATCTTACAAATCATGGAAGACTTCTTTTTTCAACTTGGAGATGGTGGTTCTATCTGGGTAACCTTGGCTCACGCTGCCCCAAAAGTAACGCACATCGCGATGTGGAAGCTTGAATTTGGGGGAGGTGTTGGGGGTCACCAATGCTGTTTGATGAGGATGGTTAGCAGTGTCTAACGATGCTCCCTCCTGCCCTGCTGAGGACAGGCTGGTCTTTGTTGGTTCCACACACCAGACAGCCCCTGGTGCAATGCTGTTTCTCTTGGCCTTGACCCTCCCAGGCCGGACTCTGATGACCAACACTGCCAACGTCAGTTGGTCCATGTGTGTGTTTGTGTGCTGATAGATCTGATATATCACTTAAAAACACGTTGGTGGGCTTTTGCGCTTGCAGGACTTGTTGGTGATGACTCTGTGTGGGTGACAGCAGCTCTAGGCCCCATATTTCTGCTCTCGACCCCAGCTCTGGAGCAGTTTATAACAAAAGAGGTGCTTTTTAGTGCAGGTTTCCCCCTTCTTTTACATTCGTGAACGCTTTGTGCTTGCTTCCCCGTAGAGTTGTCCCTCCGCCCCGGCTGGCAGGCACAGATAAGGATGAATGGGGAGATAAGAAGCTCTTTTCCTTCTCCTCCCTCATCTGGAGCACCAGCAAACGGGGAGGATCCACTTTCGAAATCCCACAAGCTCTGCTAAATACATGGGAAAGTGGGTCCCAAAAAGAAACAAGTCACAACCCTCCCTGCTCTCTGGAAGACAGATTGATCAAATAGAAATCTTTGGTGAAAGAAGTGAAATGAGGGGGGAAAAAAATAAATTAGAAAGGCAGATTCCTCTTCTCTTCAGCAGCCCACCATGTCTCTTGGGAAGCCACCCTCGAAGCTCCAGGATAGGTTTACCTGGAATAAAACCATATTATGTGATGTGGCAAAGGCACACCCAGAAAGAGACAGGTTGGAATTCAGCTCTGGTGCTATTTCCCGTGGAAAACAAAAAGTTTTCTGTGATAGTCCAGAACAAGTGCCAGTTAAAGGGTATGAACTCTTTTCATACTGTCTTCAAGTGCAGAATATGACCAGCAAGGTTCATGGGCGCCGTCCGTAGCTTTTTTTGTACCCTCCTTAATCAGTCGGGCTGAGCGCGATGTGGTGGTGTAGTCCAGAAAATTGAGAAAAACGGGGCAGATGATAACTTTTTCTTGCTCTCTGTTGGCTTATCCCTCGGCAAGGCATTTTTTGGAGTGACATCCGTGGCTGCAGTGATGTGTTTGTACTGGGACTTGACACGGCAGAGCCCAAGGAAGCCGCCGTGGCAGGAATCCCCTGGGCTTTACGGCTGGTGTGGTTTCTGCATGTGCTGCCTCACAAAGGAGGTGTGATAGCTTCATCACAGCGGCGATAATGAAGTAGAAGAGGATGTAAAGAGGCAGCTATTGAGTGGCGTGGGTCTTCCCTGGGCTGAGCCTGGGCGTCGGGAGCCGCCGTGGTGGTGATTCCAGTGTGGGTATCCATAGCAGGAGCTGTAGAGCGGATCAGGTTCAAGTATTTTTGCTGGGTTGCGCCGTCTCCTCACCAGCTCCTGCCGCCAGTAGAGCTGCAGAGGGGATAAATTATGATGTCAAAACAGAGAGATGCTGTCACACCACCATCTCCCCTTCCTGGGGTCAAGGTTCTGCTTTATAGCTTGGAAAAGCCATTAGTCCATTTGAAAGCATATGGCCAAGAACGGCCAAAAAAAAAAAAAAAAAGTCTTGTGTGTTTGGGTCAGAGCTACAGACAAAAGGCTCTTTGTGCTAAGAGCTGACAATGACAAATAAAGAGGAACCTGTTGATCTAGGAGAGAAATGGAGGATTATGAAAAGATCACATGGTGAGAAAAAGACCTTGGCTGTTTGGCTGGATGTCAGTCTCGCCTGTCATTAAAATGTTTTCTGCAGCTATGGCATATTTGTTAATACAAGTGCTGTCTCCTGCTTGCGTGGTTTGGGTTTTTTTCTAGCCTACAAAAATGCTACCTGTGCCTACATGTGCCACCCTCGTGAGCCCACAGCACAGGGGTGACACGCTCTTAGCTGGATCCTCGCCATGTGTTAGGCATTATGCAGAATAATTAATGTTTGCAAATCTCTCCGATAGCACTGGGGGCACTAGAAACAGTAAATGCTATAAAATAGTGTCTGTCCAGCCACAACACATAAATACAGGACACAAAGAAAACCCAGTAACAAAACCCCCTATAATTCAACAAAGTTATTGGAAGTAAACCAAGAGCTATGTCTAATGCTAATAATAAGCATATTTCCCAAAGGTAACATTTGATTCCTATCCAAAACCGAACATATTTGAAGCCCTGCCTGAATGTCGTCGTGGAGCAGATTAACTGGGACAGTTTAATCTGTGAATAACTTTGTAAAGCCTTCAGCCAACTCTGAAGAAACAGCAACAGCCCTGACGAGACCGGGCTACAAAACACTTCACAGATAATGTGTTTTTTTGCTTTTTTCCCAGTAAGTCTGGAGAAAATAGAGAACGGCTTCGGGTTTGTGGCACGCACATCTGGTGAGTGGATATTTCTGATCGGTGTGCAGAGAACATGCTGAACAGAAATATTTATATTGAACATTGATGGGCCGCCTAAAATGACCTCCAGAGTCTATGAAGTGCACCATAGATTTTTAAAAAATCTATTAGAGCCCATTATGTTCTGGAATGTATCCGAGTCCATCATCGCAGAGAGAGCCAGCGATTCTGCTTTTGCTGTGAGGGAGGAGACCTATGGAAACGCATTTAATTCAAACTAAACAGAGGGTGGGGGGAGAAATAACAACAGAGTGCTTTTTTCCTCTGGTTTTATTTATCTTTGCAGCTGAAGAGGCTGCGATGGGGAAGGTGACTGGAAAATGAAACACAAAGGGAAAGGTCCCTTGCTGTTCCTTGAGCACCGGTTTGAAATCAATGCACATAATGCACTTGGAAGGACTGTCTCATTTACTGGTTTTCAGTAAATTGCTGGGCTGTGCCTCTCAGTGATGATGTTGATAGCCACGTCTGTGCCAGCAAGAATATCCTTTAAAAAATAATTTTAAAAAAGGTATGCAATTCCTTGCAGGCAGCACTTGGATAGTTTAGTCTGGGATGCCCTGAATTCTATACGTTGGCCGGGAAGTATCTGGGGCTGCTGGTTATCTCTCCTGGTGGTACAGAGCGTTTCTCAGCTCTCTGTACCTTGTTCCAAAGACACAACAAACTGTGCTTAAGCACAAATTAAATTTCCTCCTGCAGAGAGAAAGGCCCGCTCCTGCACAGCCTGGCACAGCCGAGGTGTTTTCTAACCACTGCTCTTCCTTTGCCATCTTGATTTGTCACCCCTGGTAGTCGGTGGTGCCCTCCCAGTGACTTCAAGTCCTGCCCAGTTAGGCTTAGGGTCCAATTATCCTCATTAAAAGAATAAACTAATAATTCATAGTTCAAAGTAGGTTTGCTATGGACAGCACCACTCGGGATTTAGTGCATGATACCGGAGTTGGTGCTTACACTTTCTTTTAATATTATTTTTTAACTGGAGGCAGATCTATTTATATATGCTTTGGGAGAATAATTTTATGGGTAAATATGATCTTTATTAATATTTTTTTTGTTAATTCATTGATGTTAGTAAAGAGCTTTGAAGATGAAAGCACCGTATGCAATAAATATTAAGATTATTCCAACATATTTTAATGTTGCCAGCATTCCAGCTCCATCATCTTTCATCCAAGAATCTCAAAGTACTTTCCAAATGTTAATTAATTTCCTCTCAACAGTCCAGGGAGATACCTATTATTATCATCCCCATTACACAAAGGAGTCATTCCGAGTGCATTTTACCCCATGACTTGGTAAAATCAGGTAATATGGCAGTGATCCAAAAATTCCTGACTCCCATTCTCCAGTCCTTGCTGCTCGACAGCATTCCCTTCTTGGGAGTGGGCTGTGACACTCACCTGTGCGGCGTTTCCCTGCCTTCCTCAGGTGCTTCTGTTGGTAGCTCTTAAACCAAAAAAAAAAAACCAAACCAACAACCCAGACAATGATAACATGCCACACCCAGGACAGGTGAGGAAATAAAACTCTTCAAAATCAGAATTATCACAGCTATTCTACTGAGTGGGCTAGGGTGAATTCTCAATATCTTTTCATGTGCAAGAGTAAATCTTAATGGGATACTGTTTTAGATTCCTATTGTAGAGTCAGGATCTTATAATCCACTTTCAAAGACTATTAAAATGCAAACGTTTTCTCAGATGCAGACAGAGCTGGAGAGTGCAAGTGAGCACGAAAGGTCTGAGCTAAATAGCACGCACGACAGCTGAAACTTCTTCTAAAACACTCTCCCCAAACCAGAGGCCAAGTTAATGGTGAGAGGAGAAGACCATTTCGAGACAGCGTGACTCCAGCAATCCATGAGAACAATGCAAAGTTCAAAAATAGCCGTATTGACTGGTGGAAAAACAACATACATATAATTTTCAGGTAATTACTACAGTATAATTAGCTCTGTTGTTTTCGTATGAGCCATCTGAAATGAACTCTACTCACCACTGGAACTCAGGTTTATTTGCAGCGTTCCCATGACTAAAGCGATTCTTTAGAAATAGCGATTAGGTAAAAAATAAAGCTGTGAGTACTTTATAGCAGATACTGTGTCTGTGCCAGCAGGCATAGCCTAGCTGCTGGCATTTTATTTAGGATCTTATCCACCCCGACTCTGAACCACGTTAGGCGAGATGAGAGCTAAGAACTGGAGAGGACAAGTGTAATCCACTCCTACCCTGGCTAAGTTACTTCCATGGGTGGTCCATAATGGAAGTTGTAGGACAGGGAGGAGAAAAGAGACTCATATTGTAACATTTTTCTAAATTACTGTATGTGACTGAGGTCCTGTGCAAAATTATTATAAATTAGGACTGTATGAAAATGTCAGTATTTTACATGTACTGTGTGAGAGATGGAAAAGGGGGAGTTACATGTAATATCATAAGGACTTAATCAAAGTTCAGGAAAATTTAGCACCTTGATTTATTTATTTATTTGGCATAGAGCTTTGCTTATTAGGAATTATTTAGTATCTGTAGAAAGTAACTTCTTAAGCACTGGGACCTTTCAGTCTTACATAAAATCACTTTTAATTGGAACCAAAAAGTTTCTCGTAGTTAAAACCTGTTTCTGTTGATGCTGTAAATCTGTACAGCTTCATTAAAAGCCTGCTCCACCTCTCAGAAGATACTTTGGTGATAGATGTAGCTTTCTGTAGTTTGCTGCCCTTGCATTTCAACAGTTCTTGGCTGATTTCAAGCCTCTGAACCGTCTGACCCTCTATGTACCACTTGGCTTCGGTACGGCATCGTGTCCTTCACAGCTCACCATGGACCAGCGATGGCCTCTTGCAGTTGCTTTTTCCTATTCCTTCTTGTTCTTCATCCACACATTACGTAGACGGGGGCTAATGATAAAAAATCCCAATTGTGATTCAGCAAAGTGGAATTTTGTTGACAAAAATATGGATTCAACTCAGCCAAAGGAAATGCTTTTACAAGTGTAGATGGATATCTCAGGAACGACCATTTCTTAGAGAAAAAACTATTCTGGGTTATTATTTTTTTTTTTTTTCTAAAAGATAGCAATTCAAATAAAAGCCCAGAGAAAAGTGAACAAAGTTACTTACAAAACTAGATCCATTCAAGGGTGGCAGTTTTCCTGCAATAAAAGTTACGGAAGTTAATTTTAGGTAAGTTAAACTAAACGCTGCAGGGCCAGTAGGATGCTTTTACCGTTGAGCTTGGCCTGTCTGTACCACAAAAGCCTCATTTCAATGCAGAAAGCAGTCTCCATTCTCTTCATCCTCACCTTAGAACGCAGCCTCCGTTGGCCACGACTGATAACTTCATTTGACGCAGTCCAAATATAGAATAGCTTAATTATGAAGGACAGGCCCTAAGAACATTAGCTGAGTGCTGGGAGCAGGCACATCTCATCCATTGATACTGGAGCGGAAAAGGCTAAGCAAATAGTTTTAAAGAATGGACTAATAGTTTTAAAGAATGGGCTAATTGTTGTGCCTATTACTATTGTCTTGCAGCTGCAAGGCTTTGTATAGCAGTAAAGTACATAGGACTTGGAATGTCTAATTCTGGGCAGGGAATACAATATACAGGGCATTGGAGTATCAGGGAGGGCAATTAAAATTATTAAAGATTTGCAAAAATTGCAATGGGGAAAGAGTTTCTATCACGGCCACAGCAGGTAGGATTTGAGTACTTGGTGGTGTAAACTGCACTTGTGTGTGTACAGCAGCGAGGCGAGCTGATATTTAAGAACTGAAAAAACAGGAAATACGCAAATGAAGCCGGGATGTGTCACACTGTAACACTGCATATGTAATTAAAGATTATAGTAACTCATTTACATATGCTTTCCATATTGCAATAACATTGTTATACCAGGAGATCTAAGGATATAAAACAGGTGGCATTAACAAAATAGGCCAGTATCTTTCCCTAATTTAGGACTTTAGGTGATTAACTCCCCCTCTGTAAGTTTTAGTAACACAGGCAGCAAAGATGTAATGAATCTTTCTTTTCTAAGCAAGTAGCAGCCCTTGTTTTGGGCCAAATTTGAGAGATGATGGGAACATAATACGACAGAACATAATTTAATATTGCACTTGGATGTGAATTTAGAGGGAAGACATGTGCCGGCCAAGGCTCAGTCCCTCAATTACACTATACAGCATATTGAGCAATGCCACGTACGTTGCTTATAAAGAATTTAATGGACTTATTTTATCTGATATACTGGCTACTCCATTTTCTTCACATACATCCAACAATTTTCACCAAAATGTACCTCTATGTCCTTCCCCCCCCCCCCCCCCCCC